AGAACGTACGTACCTGGCCCCGCCTACTACCCTCGGAAACGTAAAATGATTGGCTAGAATCTAAAGTGTATCACAGCTCAGGAAAAAAAAGCACCGAAATAAAGCACCGAAATGTGCGCTGCTTTTCGGTCTGGTTACTGCCATCATGGCACCGGACACCGCTACCCATCCCTACTGTTAATACATAGTGAGTGAGAAAGGTGACTGGAAAGGAAAAACTCTTTTTCCTTTTCCAGAGGATTCAGGGTCACCTGGTCCAGCCCTAACTATATGCTTTAGCAAAAAGGAAAGTTTGAAGCCTAATCTTGAAAGTAGAGATAGTGTCTGTCTCCTGAATCCAAACTGGAAGCTGGTCCCACAGAAGAGGGGCCTGAAAACTGAAGGCTCTGCCTCCCATATCAGCCAGCTCGCTCTATTTACCAGTCATAGCCCTGATTCTTTCCTCCTTTCTCCAATGTTTCCTTTTCTTTCTCTATCTCAAACAGGTTTTCCTCCTCTCCTTCTACTCTGTTTTCAGTAACATAATTTCCACGCTGAGTGGCTGTAGCTCAGGAGGTAGAGCAGCTCATCTGCTAATCAGAGGGTTGCTATTTTGGTGACTGTTCCAGCCTGCTTGCCAAAAAACTTGTGGGCAAGCTACTGATCATTTCCAAAGTTGCTCTCTGATGAAGCCATCAGAGTATGACTGATGTTGTCTAAAATGCTTTGAGTGTACAGGTAGAGCAGAAAGGTTCTATAAGAACAAGTCAATGTACCACGCTGCTGGCCAACAACGGCTGAGGTCACGTTCAGTATGTTTATTTATTAAATGCAAACATCAGGAACATTTTAGATTGACGTAAGCTTTTCTCAGTTATCATCTGTTATTGTTCACACTTTGCCGCACTTATAAGATCACACTGAGGCTGATGGAACGACTGGGACAGACTGAGCCTCCCCTATTTGTTGTGTGCTCATGTCTTTTTTTCATTTTGTCCCCCCCACCCCTCGGATCTTTTCTTGCTGTTTGTGCTCAGGTTTGTAAACTCCTCCATGTGGGCAGTCTATGTGGGACTGACAGAGCAGCCGCTTCACGGGGCCCAGGCTTTGGCTGTTGAGAAAATCGTATACCATAATCGTTACCGACAAAAAGGACTCGACTATGACATCGCACTGATGAAACTGGCCAAGCAACTTGAAGTTAATGGTATTAGTATCCTTCAACCTCTCATTCGCTACAACTTTTTTCCTTGACAACACTCCCTAACACTCATTATTTATAGCCAAAGCTAGAGTGATCCAGGTGTCTTCATTGGCAGACTCACAGGATGCAGTTCAATCCCCAGACCAGGCAGATTTACTACTTTTGTTATTCACATTCTTTGTAGTTTACTTCATATTCCTGTAAGTGCATCTTTGTCTTCAGCACATACTGCAAGCAAACAATGAGCATGGCTATGCAAATACATTTCACTACATACAACAGTAAATGCATCCTTATTAGTATAGATTTTACTACATAGAAAAGCACATATCAGAACACATCCCAATGGGTTCCCAACAGTGATTGCACACTGAACACCAGTTGCCCCATGAGTTGGTGTACGTTCTCTGTTCACTGGTAAATCTAAATTATTGACGGCCTTATTTTTTTCCCGTATTGTACTTTTAGACCTATAAACTGCATAGTGCACTGCATCAAAGATCGTTCCGTGTCTGGCAAACTTAAAATACGTGACAGCTATCAGATAATCTTCCTTTCAGTCCTGTTTAGGGATCTTTCACTCTCTTCCCTCCCTTCTGCTTTACTTTCTCTCCTAGGATATTTTCTTCCTGACCTTGGAGTCCCATAGATCAGATTGTATGAATAAGTCTGACATGTATCAGTAACACTTTTCCCTGCAGGCTCTGTGCAGCCCATCTGCCTGCCCAGCCATGGAGAGGAGTTTAAGGAGGGCACCTTGTGCTGGATCTCTGGTTGGGGTGCAACAGAGGAAGATGGTGAGTGTAGACATCTAAAGCTTATTTTGTATTCTGTTTAGTTAGGTGTTGTTTAGGGTGTTTTTGTGGGGATGGGGCCACATTTATATGGTTGAAATTCTTCTTTTTAACAGGAGACACTAGTGTTGTTCTGCGCTCAGCTGTGGTACCACTTATCTCCAACCAGAACTGCAACAAACCAGAGGTTTACAAGGGCTTAATCTCCTCCTGGATGATCTGTGCAGGATACCTGGAAGGTGGAATTGACTCCTGTCAGGTAGAGCTAGTTTCCTTTTGCACTAAAATGAGATATATTAGTTTTATGGGGAGGAGGTGGATTGCACAGATGAGAGTCTGAAAGGGAGAATGACAGAGCACAGATTTAAACTACTGTACGCGTTGCTATGACCACAAGCACGCAAACAAGGTACAAGGGTTGTAATGGCAAACCAGTCGATCCGAGTCGAGTCGAGTCTATTATTAAATTCCGTTCTTTGTAATCTCTAACGGCAAAGAAAGACACGGCTCAAAGTGGTCTAACTCAAAAAATGATCTTTAATTTTACATTTTCCGGAAAATGGAGACTGAGCAGACACACAAACACGCCAGCCCAAGTCTGAGGCATCAGCACTCCGTCTTGCTATATTTTGTAGCACGTCACACCCAGTTTCGATACAAACATTATATAGTTCCTCTTTTCTTTGTGTCAAATTTCCGGTGCAACTTTGCACTTCCTCTTTCTAAAGTCTGTTGCCAGGGCAACCTGTCACCCTTAACATAGTTCTCATCTGGGTCTGGCATACATAAAACAATATAATCAGACAATAAGCACTAAGATTATATATTAAATACATGACACAAGTCGACATGATTGGGTACTAATGGAAAAGGGGCGTATGTATGTTTTCACCTATCTGGTGTTTCCAGGGGGACAGCGGCGGTCCGCTTGCCTGTGAGGACTCGTCTGTGTGGAAGCTAGTGGGAGCAACCAGTTGGGGCATTGGCTGTGCTCACATAAACAAGCCGGGCGTTTACACCCGCATCACACTCGCTCTCAGCTGGATCCACAAACAGATGGAGGTCAGTGTCCATATTTAAGGTCCCGATGTAGCAAATCTTGACTTGAGTCAAGTACTAATCCTGTCTGTCACATCCAGCAGACAATGTCTAAAAATGGATTCAGACTGATTATGAATGTAATATTACTATTAATGCACATGCAGCATTCTTGAGGCTCATCAGAATCAGAATCAGAATCAGAATCAGAAAGGGTTTATTGCCAGATGTTGAGCAGGTTTACAACATTAGGAAATTGCTGCGGTGCTTCAGT